AGCACAGGTTCTGTTGGGATTAAATTCTTATCCCAGCACTCCGGCGTTCCGATAAGTTTGCGTAAAGATGTTGTGCTTTTTTTATGCAATACAAAGTTTGCTAGGTATGTTCGTACCTGTTCTTGCAATAACGAAAAATTCATGCCTAAAGAGGGACTGGCAAGTGCAGTTGTAAGTAATGAGTCTAAAGAAAAAGACAAAATTGCACAGTCAGTCATAAAACAGAATGCAGTTGGGGATATAGTAGTAAAAACTGAAACAGACGTAAACAAAGTTGTGACGAAAGTTACTATTGAGAAAAAACCTGCCGAAGGACAAGCAGAGCAACCGCCGACAGGTAAAGCTTTATATTGTACATTATTCCTTAACAATAGTTTAATATACTGCTGTGCATTCACATCCACAGCCTTATCAAGACTAGAATAAATCCTCTGGATTTGCGTACTAGAGAAGTGGAGCTATTAGTATTGGAACTGTACTAAATATCCAAGCCTAAACAAATTTGTGAATACTTGTTTCTTGGCTATTGATTAAAATGATCCATTTTAGAGAGAACATTCTTATATAACACAATATGGATAGGGGATGGTCAAATGGTGTGTCAAAATCACTATTAACATACCTCATCTGATGAGACGGTTCTGAACTATGCTGCAAAACCATTACATATTTTTTTATAAGTGCACAAGTTTTTTACATGTGCACTTATTTAAGTGCAGATTTGACTTTCATGTCACCTGTTGGAAAGTGATGATGAGGTGGACAATGTAGCATGCACACTTAAATAGTGCCATTATTACATGTGTCTATTTTCATCCATATGGACATGTATGAAAATAGCAAATATTAAAAATAGAATTGCGATCAGTAAATCATTGCAAATTGGTTGAAACTAGATTTTTGTAAACACTATTTTGAAATATGTAAATTTAATTCAACTTAAGGTTAAATTAAATTATATTTTAAATTATCTTAATTCATTTTTTCAGTGAAAAAGAGGTTACTTATAGATTTTTCGGCGTCATATACTGAACGTAACTTTATAACACCAATGAGAGCAATGACAGAATATCTGCTAAAACAATCTGACTTAGAGTCTCTGCCAAAAGTGCTCAGAAGGTCACCATATGAGTCTGCACCACCTATTACTGTGTATTATAGAAAAGATGTTGAAGCTAAAGCAATTGAGGTTTGTACTATATAAGCACATTCATCTTTAAATTTAAAATCAAACTCTGTAAAGTTTTCACCTTCACATTGACACAGCTTTAATTAAAATTATTGTATTAAGTCTGAAATTAGTTGACTAAATAACAAAATAATCAAAATTATCAAATCTTTTTTAGTCATCTTAAAACATAAATTGTTTGTTATTAGGTTTGGGGATCAAGAGATTCTCTTGAAAAGGAATTATTGAGAAGAGAATTAGACAGGCGAAGATATGAACAAGGTAATAAGTGGCAAAACATTAGATATTTTTTATAACCTTATAAATGTCAGTAATGGATAATTTCAAAGTCTTTAAATTGTAGATGTCTTTACTGTAAAAAGAAGATTAAGAAACTATAGGAGGGAAATGAGTTACAGTCACACCCCTGACGGTGAAGAAATGGGTTTGAATACAAGATCTGGTCGTGTGGTACTCACTGCTGTAGCAATGTGAGTTTTAGGTGTCTTTCTTTTGCATAAGTCTTACAAATGTATGTTTTACTAAACATGTTTCATGCTTGTTCCAGAAACGGTTGTAACTTTCTGTTCAAATTGTGTGCATGGTTGTACACAGGGTCACACAGTCTGTTTTCAGAATGCATTCATTCACTAGCTGATACAGTTAATCAACTAATATTGGCATATGGAATACACAAATCTGTTCAAGTATGTGCTGTACCATTTTGTTCATTATGCATACAAAGCCAAATTATATCTTTTATGCTTAAATTAAAAGGGTTCTTGCACGTCATTTTAATTATTACTTTATTGTATTGTACTTTACTTAAGAATAATTGGAGGTCATTTTTGTAGATGGCAGACCCCGACCATCCTTATGGATACACAAATATGAGATATGTCTCTTCGCTCATCTCAGGTGTGGGTATATTCTGCGTAGGCTCAGGATTATCCTTCTATCATGGTTTCAGTGGTATCCTCGACCCACAACCTCTTCACGACTACTTTTGGGTAAGCTTCACAACTTAATACGAGCGCCAGAATTCTTATAGTCTGTTGCTATAGTGTCAATACAACAAAGCAGCAATATGCTTGATCTTTCCATGGCCACATTCTATGGATAATCAGGTAGTATACCAGTCGAGTTTTTGTTATTTGGTTATAATTTTATGTTAAATCAAGTATTTCAATAAAGTATGCAAACTCGTAAGTTAAATTGGGACTCGTCAAATTGTCAAATATTAAAATCAAATTTTAAGAAATTTAATACAAGAATTATAGTACAAATGTTGGCGAAAGTTTATTTTTACTTTGAATTACGAAAACTATCTTTTTAGAGTTATGGTTTTAAGTAATTAGAAATGTTCATGGTAGTTTGTTGGTTTTAGGCGTATTTTGTGCTTGGAGGCGCTGCGGTGTCTGAGGGAGCAACACTCATGGTAGCCATAAATGCCATTAAGAAAGGAGCCAAAGAAGCTAATGTACCTTTAACAGAATACAGTATGTGAATTTGTTATTGATATACACAAAACATCCTTTATCATATTGCAGAATTTAATAAACTACTTTTCTCTGTTGACAATGGAAACGTCAATTAAAAATCGCATGCACGTGCCACTATATAAGAGTTAAAAAGATAACTTATCAACATTCAACTAGTGATATAATTTGCTGAAATGAATTTTAGTAATGCGAAGTTCGGACCCATCGGTAAATGTAGTGCTGTTGGAGGACACCGCAGCTGTTGCGGGCCTGGTCATAGCAGGAAGCTGCATGGCCTTAGCTCAGTATACTGGCAATTCATTGCCAGACGCTGTTGGATGCATCTTGGTTGGCACTTTACTCGGCGGCGTGGCTTCCTTTATAATTTTCAGTAACGTCGGAGCTTTGGTTGGCAGGTACGATTTATCATACACTCTACAGCTGAACTGAATCTTTTTTTTTTTTTATAACATTAAGTGACGAACAAGTCGTGCGCCTGATGGTAATCAACACACCTGTCCATAACAGTTACAGTGCCACTCAGAGCTTTAAATTGCAAAGATCTGAGGGGCACTACCACTGCGCCCGTCACCCTGAGACATAAGTTGACAAGTCCCATGTGCCTGTAATTTCACCAGCACCCTTACTACACACTACATACACTAAGGTGGCAGTACTTCCCTGGACGAACTCTTCACAAGGAGCTCTACTGCTAGTAAAATCTATAGCGAAGAAAGTCAGTATTAATTTTCCAATGGTACTTTTACAAAAAGTACTAGGAATAAGTAACATTCTAATGTCAAATTACTTTACATTACAAGAGATATATTATTAAAAGTTTATTAATTTAAAGTTTCAAAGTAAGTACTCACCAGCAACGTTCGTTGAGCTATCTTTAGTTAACAATATTGGTTCTATGAGCCAATGTAGCCTAATTGTTTGACCTACCACCGCCTATTTGAGACTGTGGATTTAAATCCAGTCTCGCACCCATTGAGTTTTTCGGAATTTATGTGCGAAAAGATTTGTTCCGTTAATGGTATTAATATAAATGGAAAATTTAATCAGGCTATCAGTTGTTTTTTGTAAAGAGCTCTCAAAATTAAGAAAAAAATTTTTTTCACCTACAATTTCCAGAAAATCGCTAAAGATTCGAATAATGTGTAACGTAAAGAGGAACGGGATCCTATGGATCGGACCGGATTTAAAAATATATTTTTTTGGCTTATGTGCTAGTGGCCAATGCCATAAAAAAATATATTATTTTGACAGACCAGATATCAATTACTCTTGTTGCAATTTGTGGGGTGGGAATCAATGTCGCCGTTCTAGCACCTTTGTCGCTTGATCTAGGGGATGTTATGCATGTTTAGCGGGTAAATATTTGTTTTTAGCGAGAAAAAATATTTAGCTACTTCTAGCGTCTTTTTGACCGCTAGGCTCTTTTCAGAAACAAACATTATAACCTGTCAATCAAATAGGGTAAATAAGTAATATTCGGCCAATTTTCTATTTCTAACGCTGGTAACACTAACGTAGAATTGGGTTGAACGTTAATTCCCTGTAATAAACAAACTCTCAACACCCATTCGTTCGTTTGATGCCTTTCTCACTCGTTACAATTAGGAATGAGGAAGACAATAACCTATTGTTTGAAATTTTTTCATTCTTTTATTTTTTGTTTGTTGTGTTCAAAACTAAATTAAAATAAGTGCTTTTTGGTTAATATTGTCGTTATTATTTGCAATTTTATTTACTGTTTGTGGATCAAATTCGATTTTCAAATAAGCATGGAAGTACCACCAAAAAAACGTACTGTTATATCCCAGCCCTACTACCTAAACTACTAGAGGAATGGCAGGGTTGATCCCTGCCATTCCTCCTAGTCAGCATTCTTCTTTGAACATCACTAAAACTCTATAGAAAGCAGTTCAATCCAGTCCTGTCGTGTAAACATGTGCCAATTCAATTTCAATTTTTTTATACTATTTCTTTATTCTATTGTACTTAATTACCACTTCTTCCCGAATTACACAATTTCGGGAAAATTGTGTTTTTTTTTAAAAGACTTTTACTACGCCCCGTATAACAGTACGCACAGAGTTATATATGCGAAAGGGAAAAGTATGTATGAAGAGTTCAAACATTGGTTGAAACCAGTACCAGGTGACTCCACAAAAGCATTTTGTAGTTATTGCCACTGCGAAATGTACGCAAAAATTAATCACTTGAAAAAGCATTTAGAAATTAAAAAAAAAAACACAAAAAAATGCGAACTAATTGCTCGGAATGGACAATTGTGATTTTCTCCAGCGACTGTAAATGTATGCAACTTTTGTGCAAGAGCGGAGTGTGCGTTAGCATTGTATATCACTGAACATAGCTCAATTCGTCAGATTGATCACTTGACTGATGTGTGTAAAAAATGTTTTAAAGACTCAATATCTACGCAACTGTAGTCTAGAGACATCTAGCGGATTTTAGGAAATTATTTTTACCCAAATCTAGCGGAAATTTTCTGACCATCCAGGGACTTTCAATTCGTTGTATATAATTAAGTACAACGGTAACACTGGTGGGGATCTGGGGGTCTACTCTCGATCTCCGTTCGACATCTGTCCGAAACAATTACTGCCAAATAAGCAATACTTGACCAAATGAAAAGACGCGTGATGCGAATGAAGCTTCATACTTCACATTTGTCTTTTAATTTTGTCGAATATTACTTATTTGACAGTAATTGTTTCGGACGGATGTCAGACGGTCGAATCGAGAGTAGACCCCCTGGTTACCTCAGGTAATCAAGTGTAGCCAGGTAACTTACCTGAGATACAGGTTTTCGTAGGTCAGGGACCAGCCTCCACAACCAGATTCTATTTTGATATTATGTAAAGTATTTATTTTTACGTGCACTGTTTGTGGAGACAATAAATTATTTTATTATTATTAATTTAGTTACCCAATTTTTTGAATGTTCAAGGTTTGCACGTACATTGTGTCTTATGTTGGAGATGTATCCAATACAAGACACACGTTTGCGCGCAGTGTACGCGCAAACGTTGAACGCACCGCTGTACGCGGCGTTCCGAATTTACGGCCTAAGTGTTGCTGCTTTTTGGACTTTTTTTAAGTATCGCAGTTTTGCTGGTAATTAATTTAAACATGTCTACCACATTTTTGTTTTAAATCAAATAATAAAAATGCAGGTCACGGTATATTTTTTTATTATTTAGCGGAATTAATAGCATTAGTAAAAAGCTTTTTCTTAAAACCTTATACTCTGTATGTAGCATATAGATGGGCCTGGTAAAATTGTTCTGGAAATTAAGTTCCAAACTCCATCCTAATTGGATACAAGTATTTTTTTATTTGAAATTAATAATAATACGCACACACTCAACATTGCCCCGCACTAGAAAATCCCCGTGTCGCGGGTGCCATGGACACACACATAGACAACCACAAATTACACCCAAACTCACGAGAGAAATAAATGAAAGCCATACAAATATTTCTCCCGGCCCAGGAATCGAACCTGGGACCTCTGCGTGGCATTGTAACCGTTCGGCCACTGAGGCAATTAACTATAAGCTTTTCGGTGAAGGAAAACATCGTGATGAAACCTGCACGTCGAAGAGGGTTCACAACCCCCGGAAAACGTGTGGAGTTCCCAACCCGCAATGGGCCAGCGTGACGGACTACGGCCCAAACCCTCGCCTGAGAGGAGACCCGTGTCCATCAGTAGGACGTATGAATGGGTTGATATTGATGAACCGTATAGTCAAGTCCATGAACATCAAGGCCCCCAAGGTATTTTGAGACTTATGATATGACGCCTTTGATCTCAAACAGGTCAATACCTCAAGAGCAATTGGACGAAATTAACAACGTACTGGAAAGAGATTACATGATCCGAGCTATACACGACGTCAAAGGCATAGATATAGGCAGCAACCTTATTAGATACAAGGTAAGCAATACTATACTTGACTGTTTTACACGTACTAGTGACGAAGTAATATAACTCAATTTTAGAGAAGCTAATAAATACTTTGACACTTTGCAAACAAAACGTTAGCCCACCATATGTGCGGTAGGGTCCGCTACATTGCCAATAAATAAGTTTTATTTTAATCTCCTTATCTTATTATCCAACGATGATTACTTAACAGCTGTTAAATGATTGTTTACACGGGGAGCGGGAAATAGCTGTTTTGCTAGATCAAATGTTTTAGATATTATATTATATTAATATTGGTTTTACAAAAAAAAAATACGATTTACCCAAGGATATTGTCTAAAGAATGTGCTAATTTCTTACACAATAAGATGTACATACTTTGCCCGATCATATAAAATCCTGAAAACAGGCCAAAATAAAAGTCCGAAACGAATTATTTAGGTATAAAATATCTAAATTTGCACTCTAAATTCTAAATCTAATCTAATTCTAAATGTAATCTAAATTTTTATATGGAGATATTTTTTCTTTAATTACTACAGAGAACCTACTAAATTTTGGTTTTCAACTGGAGCCACTGAACCTTTGTACTTATTAAATTCACATTTATTTTTACCCCGTCAGTCGCTATCGGGCGTTTGTCAATATCAGATCGGATCTGTGTCTTATTTTTTCCACCTGTTCTTGTTTCATCATATTAATTTTCTACGATTGCGGAACGCGCGTGCGATCCCGCCATATCTCACCTCCTACGGGCTCAATTTATATTGCGGCGGAACGGAATGGAAGCGAATTTTTGTAACATAATATAATGTACATGGCATAATGAACTTTATGATCAATTGTGTAACGTACAAAGTAGATACGAGCCAAAATCTTCCGCAGAATGCGCGAGCATTCTCGAGATTTTGGCTCGTATAATGTATAATATCGTTACAAAAATTGGCTTCCATTCCGTTTCGTCGCAATATAAATTGAACCAAAATGTAAGCTCACATTGAAATGCCCCGCCTTAACTTAAAATTTAATTAATTGCTTCATCATTTAATATGCGTAAACCGGCAATTTTTTCCATTTTATATTTTTTTTACTACATGCTACAGTACTACTTTTTTTATTGTTGACTATCATTGCGTAAATAAACTATTGACTGATTTATTGAATCTATGTTATATTATTTTAAAGGGTACCAACAACTTATATTACAACACAATAGGAAATAAAATAACAATAGCAAGCAAATATTTCCGTGCCTATAGAAATTGAATAGGCAAATAAATATTGATAACACAGTCTGGTAAAAAAGTCTATAGAGATGAGATAAATTAGATAAAACACAAATGTTACATCGTGATACCTTAAGTAATCGTTAAGTAGGTCGTACTCACACCAATAGCCTTTTTAAAGATATTAACGTAATAATAATACTTATGAAAATACATAAAAATACAAAACTAGGTATATAAACCAATTAACAATAAATAACATTTGCTACTCACTTCACTGCTAAAAATTAACTGGAATGTTGCGCGCTCGTGTGATACAGTATTTTTTATAATATCAAGTGACGGGACGAACAAGTCGTGCGCCTGAAGTTAAACTACACGCATTTCCATAGCAGTTGCAGTGCCACTCGGAGCTTTAGATCCCAAAGATCTGAAGGGCATCGTCATTGCGCCTGTCACCCTGAGACATAAGTTGACAAGTCCCGTGTGCCTGCAATTTCACCAGCACCCTTACCCTTCAAAACCGAAACGCAGTGATGTGAGCATTACTGCGTGGCAGCAGAAATAGGTAAGTAAGGTAAGGTGGCAGTACTTCCCTGGACGAACTCTCACCAGGAGCTCTACTGCTTCCAAAACAATTATACATGTTTAATGTTTAGTACCTTATATTTATTCAATGCCAATATGCCTTTAATAATATTTACATGTTATAATTATTAATGCAAAGATCGAATACAAAGAAAAATTCCTTCAATCTATGAGGACTCGAACCTGCGTTTTGTGCCATGCTGTAGCTGAACCTAGTGGAGTAATTTCATGAAAAAAATTAATATCATAGTAGTAACACATCATAATATTCATTACAATCAATATTACAATATTTGTATGCTTAAAGTTTGTTCGGGTACATTTTATACAACTTGTGTTGTAAACAAAGTTATTTGTTAAGAATTTATTACCAATGTGTTCAGGACGAAAACGTGTTCGCGCCCATATGATTTATAATATTGT